AACTTTCTGGAACAAGACGCCGCCAAGACGACGACTTCTTTAACATTGTGCCGTTTAGTTTAGAGTCGACTGCTTCCGTCTTTCTGCGGTCCATCATTTTGTGGGTCTCTGGGGTGTTTTTGTGTGTTCGCATTGGTTCTGCATCTACTGTGTTCGTTTCGGATCAGTTTCAGTCGATTGTGATCTCTCTTTGTGGTGATTAAGCATCTGTATGTTGTGGTGACTTTCACACCTTTATGTGGTGATTCTGATGCTCCTGCCTTCAACAGCAGCTTCAGGCCACATCTTGGTTCTTTTTGTGGTAAGTTTCCATCTTTCTGTGGTAGTTTAAAGCTTTAGTAGAGTTTCTGTGGTGACTCTGCATGTTTTTCTGGTGGCTTTGTGATGATTGTTCATCTTTTCTTTGTGTGGCTGTTGATGGTAATCTTCCATCTTTATGTGGAAACTTGGAGTCTTGGTGCTAATTCCTCTGATTTTTTGGAGGTTGTTTCCACTCGACTCAAACACGTTCAGCACGGCGACGACTTTTCTTTGACATCAGCTAGTTTGGCTTCTGTCCATTTGTTCCTCTGTCTTTGTTTGTCATCATCCTTTTCTGTGTCTTTGTGGTATTTCTGTGTCTGTTTTTTACACTTTGGCTGAGCTGTAATCTCGTTCTGGTCATTTTGTGTGTTTCTGTGTTTGGTTTTCGTCTCTTTCGGCCTTTCTTTGTGCCTTTATGAGCATTTTGTGGCTCTTTGTGTTTGTTTTGTTCTTTGCATCCAGTGGTTCTCGCCAGCATCTGTTTGTGTTCGTTATTTAACAATAACTCATTAAAATCTCGTTAAATAAAACAACCTGGAGCTCCACAGGCTGCATAAAAAGGACGGTTGCATTAATAAGTTAGAAGTGATGCTTGTGTGCGATTGTCCTAACTCAGCCTGAAAGCCATGAATGCTTCACCAATCCGCCGGTCGGTTTACGGCCCAATAATCTGCGACATAAAACGGGTTTTATGCAACATTACAGCCGAATGCTGGCAAAACACAATGTTTACTTCTGTAACTCCAACGTTTAGGGCTTCTAATAAGCTCTACGGCCTTTTATAGAGGAAATGAACTCATTGGTTTGAGTCGAAGCTAAACTCCTCCTGCAGCAAACCCACCGGACTTGGACGGCAGCAGACGGCGGGTTTTCCTCCACCGAGCGGGATTCAAGGAGCTCAGAGCCACAGTTATTTAGCGCTGCTGCAGCCGCCATCAAAGCCAGAAGCTGCTAAAATTAACCTTAAATTCTCCTCTCTGGTTGTAAACGAGACGTCTGCTGAGCCAACAGCAGTCGGACCTGATGCAGACTCAGAGGACTGAACCTTTGGTTACACAATACGGGACCAAGTCTGCAGTTTAAAAAAGGACAAAGAGGAAACTTTGAAAACTCTGGAAGATCCCTGTTTGTGTTTTGTCTGTTCTGTGAAACTCTGACTCCCTTTAACCTTCAGAGGAAACTCCAGAAGGACAATCAGCTGAAGAACATCTGGAAACCGTTTCTGTTCTTTACCAACAGCTGGTGAAGTTGTGCTGATTGAAATGATCAGAACAGACCACATTCATCCTGATGTGGCGATTTAGAGTCTTCGTGGTAGTTTCACCTCTTTTTATGGTGATTTAGCAGCTTTTCTTGGTGGTTTTTGTGTCTTTTATGAGGTACTTTTCCATCTTTGTGTGGCAATAGAGAGTCTGTGGTAGTTTCAGGTCTTTCTGGGATGATTTTACATCTTGTGGTGGTGGTTTTGTGTCTCATTGTGGTAGTTTTGCATCTTTTAATGTAGATGTTGGATCTTCTGGAGATGGTTTTAGACCTTTTTGTGGGGATCTTGCATGTTTTTATGGTGATTTCTTTTTCAGCTGTTTTTGCATCTTTTCTTGGTGGTTTTTGTGTTTTTTATGTGGTACTTTTCCATCTTTACGTGTCAATTTTGAGTCTCAGTGGTAGTTTCACCTCTTTTTGTGACGATTTAGCATCTTTGAAAGGTGATTTTGCAACTTTTCTTGGTGGTTTTTGTGTCTTTTATGAGGTACTTTTCCATCTTTGTGCGGCAACTGTTAATCTGTGGTAGTTTCAAATCTTTCTAGGATGACTTTGCATCTTGTTGTGGTGGTTTTGTGTCTCATTGTGGCAGTTTTGCATCTTTTTGAGAATGATTTCATTCTTTGGATCTTCTTGAAGTAGTTTTAATCTTTTTTTGTGGTCATGTATGTGTTTCTTGGTGTTTTTGCATCTTTTAATGTAGATGTTGGATCTTCTGGAGGTGATTTTAGACCTTTTTGTGGGGCTCTTGCATGTTTTTGCATGTTTTTAAGTTGGTTTTGCATGTTTTTGTGGTGGTTTAGCAACTTTTCTTGGTGGTTTTTGTGTTTTTTATGAGGTAGTTTTCCATCTTTACGTGTCAACTTGTGTCCCACTGTGGTAGTTCTGCATCTCTTGGGGACGATTTAGCATCTTTTTCTGATGATATCACCATGAAAACGTCTCTTCCTGTCCATTTCTTTTTCTGCCTTCATAGCTGTTTTTCTCTCGATATTTGTTTTCAGTAATTTCATGTCTCTTTGCAGTTGTTTTAGAAGACGGCTTCAGCAGAAATCAGCCTCGACATGCTGAAGCTGGCCTTCCTCCGGGGTTTCGTTCCTCCGGGGTTTGGTTCCTCGGTGTTTGCAGTAAACACTGGCCGGTTGTGCTTTGAGATGTTAACGGAGTCATCGGTCGGATCTCTGCTCTGTTTGTGTGTGAATGTTGTCGACTTGTTTACGTCGTCTGAAGGACAAAAAGCCTCAAATTCTCAACCAGACGTCTGAACTAAACGCACCTTTAACACGACGTCGGTTACTTCAGGAGGTGAGCTGTGGTAAAATAAGCTGTGAAAGGAAATTACAGCCCAATATTTAGCCGCACGCAGAATTTGTGCATAAAAAAACGTTTTTCTGGGGTTTTGTGTCTTTTTCAGGTGATTTCAACTCGGTGGGAATTCTGCATTTTTATTTCATAAATAAAAAACTCTAAGTGGGATAATCTACGGTGCTGATTTTACATCTTTGTGTGGTGGTTTCGTATCTGTTCATGGGGATTTTGCATGTTTTTGTTGGGATTTTTTATCTCTTTTTGTAGTAATTTGGCATCTTTGTGAGGCGACTGCAGATATGAGGTAGCAGCCAAAGAACTTCCTTCGTAAAGTTTGATCTTATTTTAACCTAAACGCACTCTGTGATTTAATCTGGTTCATCTTGGGACTATAAAATGATACTAAACAAATAAAATGTAGTAAATATAACAGTTATTTGTATAAATATAGATTAGAAAACATTTTAAATGCAGGCAGCAACCAGAAGAACGTGATAAAAGAAACGGAACAACGAGACGGGTCCCTGAACGCCTCACGGTGCGTCTTCTCGGTGAGTTCGAGGAGCGTTCAGCATCACACCTGCAGTTTTTTCCAGGATTTGCCTCTTCTAGTTTGGAATGAATAGACTTTAATCTCAGCTCTTCTTAAAAACGACACGATTAAATCTTGCTTATGTTGAAAACGTGAAACTAGAAAGTTTGTGAGGTCGTTGAGTGAAACCTTTCCAGGAGTTTCCCGTTTTAGTTGTGAAGAATTTCCTTCAGGATTAATAAAGTTTGAATGTATTTCATATTAAAAACTACATAATTTAATCTTGTTAATGTTGGATCGTCCAAATGACGCGCCGTCATCCAACAGGTGGTCATTTTTCTTTTTTCTTTTCTTACTCTTGAGGAAGTTGGCGAGGTCGTAGAGCGTCCGGTCCTCGGAGTTGCCGTCCCATTTCTTCAGAGCCATGCCGTTGAAGGGCTGCAGGCTGAACGCTTCCCGCTTGCAGTCGACTACGATCACTTTGCTGGTGTCTCGGTTCAGACACGACACGTCCTGGAAAACAAAACAGAGCAGCAACAGGCCGCTGTGTGAATTCATTCAGATAAAACGTGTTGGATTAGAGCGATAACAAACGACGGGACTCCAACAGAAGCCGCCGTTGACCTTTTCGCCGCCTAATCAAACGAGCAACTTTATTATCTTAATGCGGGCCCAGATTAAACACTTTCTCCGGCCGCCCAGCTGCTCTCGCTGTGGACAGATGGAGGAGGGACGCTGCTCGTCTGAACCCCCCCGCGGTGTTTGGACAGAAAGCCCAGCGGACACATCCGTCCGTCCGCCGGCAGCCCATGAATGAGAGGCATCTGTCCTCCTGCACGGTGGGGCTCTGGTTGGCTGGAAAAACCACCACAGTCAGGAAATAAACTACAGTCAGGAAGCTACTGGAGTCAGGAAACATATTCTGTGTTTTTATATTCTTGTTATTCTAGTTGTCTATCGATGGGCAGCTATACAGTAATCATGTTTGGTTTTGGGGTCTGTTAACAGTCTAGTCCAGGGGTGGGCAATCCTGGTCCTGGAGGGCCACAGTCCTGCATGTTCTAGATGTGTTCCTCTTCCAACACACCTGATTCACATGATCAGGATCGTTATCAGGCTTCTGCAGAGCTTGATGATGAGCTGACCATTTGAATCAGGTGTGTTGGAAGAAGGAAACATCTAAAACATGCAGGACTGTGGCCCTCCAGGACCAGGATTGCCCACCCCTGGTCTAGAGCTTCACAGGAGACAAGTCTGAACCTGAAACCTCCTACAAGACCTCGGTACGGTCCCTTCTCAGACTGGTTAGATTTTGGGGTCAATACATGAGGTCAAACGCCACATTTACCAAAAACAGCTCTGTGTGACTGACAATCCACCAAAACACATGAGTTCAGTTCCTCTAACTGAAGAAGACATTGAAGGCCTATGAACTGGTGATGTAACATGTGACCTTGAGACAAAGGTCAAGGTCAAACCCAAGGTCACCTATCGTAGGTGCTTAGCCGTAGATTACAGCGAATCGCTTCCCCTCCATGTAGAACATCTGATACCTGACAGACTGAGCTCATTATGAGT